GTCACTCTATGCAGCTTAAGATATCCCCAACTAGCTCCAGCTACATTACAGTGATACTCTATCACTCGGGCCTGAATATATGGGTGGGTATGAGCCCTCCTTTTCACACCCATTGTATGGGCAAGCAGAGAGGCAGCACATAGAGGGGGCAGCAGGAGTTCAGGAGGCAGTCGCCTGCCGCTGTCTAATTACTGCGGAGACAGCAAGGTCAGTTGCAGGGCAATACCCAGCTGGGAGTGGTGTGCTTCCCGCCTCCAGCGCAACACAAGCACACCCACACAAACCTGTTGTCAGTGACTTGCTTCGGTTCATCTTCTTTGCAGAGATCTCCAAGTAATGTTAACAACCACATATAAAAGGAAAGAAAAAACGTGTAAACATTTTCCTCCCGAGTTGGTGGTGCTTTTAGGGAGGCTGCAAAATAATTAAACGAGCTCTGAAGAAATATACCATTTTAATTTTCTGAGTATTTACTGGGATTGTTATGAAAGACCCCTCACTGTGTTATTGGTTGCCTTTTTCTATTTTTTTGCCTCACGCTGGCGCTGCTCTCCCCTAATAGTACAGAATAAGACATGGCTCCCCTCCTGGGTCTCCAGCTTTTCATCTTGACTAATTTCCTCCGTTGACATTGAAGTCAATGTGAAAAAACTAAAACCTAAGCAGAGGCGAAGGTAATTCTGGCTACTACTGACAAAGAGGCTCAAACAAGAGTTAGCGTAAGTTCGCAGAGGTCAGCCCTATTCACAATTATCCTTTTAGCATCTCTTTAGGCAGGGAGTAATTGTCATACACATTACCACAGGTGTTGTTTTCAAAGCCTTCACACCTTGATAATGCCCAACAAAAGGGTGCTGAAAAGCATGGTGACATCCATTGTTACGCAGCTGCAAAGTGAAGCTTTTAAAACCCACTGGTTTCTTCTAGCTCGTTCCCCAAGGAGATGGCATTGAAAGACAGAAGGAGGCAGTTAGTGTTTCATTGAGCTTTTAGCAATGTTTTCAAGCTGCTGAAATTGCACCTTAAGAGATCATCTGAGACGTGGCGCCTGTGTCACTCGTATGTATAATTGCAACCCAAAGCTATCAGCTGGGCTGCTCAACATGGGTAGAAATTACCACAATTTTCTTCCACGTGTAATGATGACTCCCATCTGAGGTGATCAAAAATAGAGCTACTCTGTATTGATACATTGCTGCTACAGGGCCACCAGCGACTCATCTGGCACTCAGCTGTGTAATGTTCACTCAGTAGGATTGGTAGACAAACCACAGCTGGAAATTTTGAACTGAGGTTACCCTGACCTGCAATGAAGACAAGCTGTGTGTGTGTGTGTGTGTGTGTGTGTGTGTAGTCACCAGAGCATTTTAGGAACAAGAGAAAGCTCCTTGTTAAGGGGATGAGGGATAGTGAGGGAGGTGGGACATGGAAGGTTAATTGTTGTGATGGATGAGGTGATTTCCAATGAAAATTTGAATTTATAATTTATTTTATCTTGGTGATTTATTTAGGAGTAAACCAAGCAACTTTAAGCGTCATGATATGGACTATTCCAACTCATGTCATCAATATAAACTTGTTGTTTTCAGGTAACCTACATATTTTGCTATACATTAATATTCATTTCCAGCTGTATAAAACAATCACAAATCTTTTTTTTCTGTTTACATTGCATTGTGTCTTGAGTATGGAAGATTTGACCCACATATATTCCATGATAAGTATGCATTTTAGTTACTGTAACTGGTTAAAAGAAACAAAAAAAGATAACAGAATGTGTTCCTTGTTATTGTTTCGCAAACACACCCCACAAAACAATATCTCGTGAACTCATGCTATCCTTGAAAACAACAACAACTTATCTGTTATTTATTAAGAACATTATGAAGTCTTTTGTTGTGGCATGCTAGTAGACGCTACAGTCTTATGGAGACTGCTCAAAAATGGCAAGAAGCTACAATAGAGAAATATCAGAGCTGCATTGACTTGAAGCAGTTTCAGTTAAATTTTATGCACTCTAAAATAAACAAACAGCCACATATGTAAAGCCACGGTTAATGTATAGTTTTTACAGCTAAATCTTTGGATGATGCACTTTCTGTGTAAGGCAAAACGCAAAAATCACCCTGGACCCAAGCAGAATGAATGTCAGCTCAGTACCACACTCAATCATATCAAGCAGCCATAAATGCTGTCCAGACCTGCCCTCTGGTTGACCCAAGCTGTTGTGCAATACCTGAACAAAAATTGTCACCGGTCTTACTGGACAACTAGGTTACTTGGAGGTCGTGATCCCTGCTTTTATAGAAGATTGAAACAGCAATACACGTGGGGCAGGGGAAACCAGACTGACCAGGCTACCTGGTGAGGGATGAGGGGGGTGGTTTTGATAAAAGCTGAAAATATAACTTAATATATGACCAAAACAAATTGCTCAGAAAGTAATTTAATCTCGTTGTTAATAATGTGCTGATCTGAAAGGAGTGGAAGGAGGAAAGGTATGTGCAACAAGTTATCGACTTACCTTTCTGGCCCCATGCTTGGCAAACTCTTTGGCCAGGTGTCGTCCGATGCCTCGTCCTCCACCAGTGATCAATACCACCTCCTTGGTGAGGTCTTTCCGTCTGCTTGGCAACAGCAACATCAAACTTGCTCTTACTATACAGTAGAGGATTTGAACCGGGAAAAGAAGCATACGACACACGCTCTTCAGCTCCATTTCGGAACGTGCTCACGGATAGTCTGTAAGTATGTTTACGCTGCAAGTTTACGTGCACCGCAGATATCCGCCAACAGTGAACTGAGTGCGCAGACAGCGACTTCTGAGCTCCTGCAACTTTACCCGCATGCAAACAATATCATCTGCACTGTTGCATAACTAATCCACAGGCGAGAGATATTTTTTTTTAAAACAGAACAGTGTGACTTGAAGAGCTCTGACAGTCTACATGCATCACGCTCACGAAATCAGTGAGTGATCAGTCATTGCGCCTGTCAACTACCGTCGAGGAGTACAAACGTGAAACACAAGTCCAGGCGACGCTCCGTAGTGCGCGCTACTCTGTGCTTTGGTGTTGCGTTCCTGTTCTGTCCTGTCCTGTCCTGTCCTGCCTTATATATTACCGCCTCTGCCCTGGTTCGGAACTTCCACTAGTGAAAGGAACTGGATGAACCTAAATAGGAGGTTTGTAAGGGCATTAATCCTGATTGACATGTTAAGTAGGGATGAATTTTGCTCCAGTGCCCGTCTGCCCTGAGTGGCTGCGCACTTGCCTCTTCCACACCCCTTCATGTGGCTACAACAGCGTTTCTCAACATGTGGTCTAGGTCCTCACAGTGGTCGCCGAGCAGCGAGGGTCCCAGCTGGGACCCCAAACTCTCACTTCACAGTTTCACTGATCCGAACTTCACCTCGTTACATAACGCTGGCCACAGAAGAACAATGATGTTGCAATCACAGGTCTCACTGACTTGCGAGTCAGTACAAAATATTCTTATATAATAGCGCCAGATGAATGACTGCCATCGTCAACAATGCCTAATGCCAGTTCTATTAAATTAATTAAATGAAACAAATAAAGAGAGGAAACAAAGAATCAGCTGAGCACCAAACAAACACATAGCTGATAAAGCCCCTAACACATTTGTAACCTCAATAAAAAAAAATCAGGTCTGGATTGTGTCAAAATCTAAAGTCATGTATTTCCTCCACTTTAATGTGCTAGGTTTATTTTAAAAAAAGTGAACATGTTATTTGATTGGACAGTGTGTTTGTACATTTGTAATGGTTTCCAACTGTTGGTATAAAGCGCCACTAGTTGTTTGAACCCAGTCTGTTGTGGTAACAGTATTTTTGAAGCACGCTATATTTTTTCTGCATGTGACAATGCAGTTTGGGAAATAGGTCAGCCCGGTCTCAGAAGCTTGGAAGGATGACAACAATAAAACCGCATGAATACCTCCTAAACAAATCTTGTGAATTCACGAGCCTCAGACAAGATTCCAGTCTGTGATGTTTGGCCCTGGCACTGTGATTTTTTACTGGGCAATGCTGAATACAAGACTTTTTCAGCAACTGGGATGGGTTTAGCCTCACAATGGTTGCTTTGTGCAAGGCTCAGTTACTTAGGGAAGACAGAGAGGCTCTCGGGGGCTGCTAAAAACTCCAAGACAACACGACTCCAGATGCTGTCTTTATTTTGCAAATTTCTGAGGTTTACAAAATGCAGATTCAAAGTCGAGAGCCCACTGGAGCTTATGCCAAAGCATATTCCACTGAAGAGATGTCGAATACAGGTAAGTGAATTTGCTAAAACATCATAGTACACATTGCAGTCACTGGCAAATATGTTTAAGCTGCCCACAGAATGCCACAGTGTAAACAGACTGTTTTTCAGAGTATCCTGTTTATTTATACTCATGCTATCACTGCCATCTACAGATCAACAGTGAAAGTTCAGATAAGGGTCTTTTCAGTCAGCCTTCATGCATCTTTGAGTATTTTCTTCCCTTAGACGCTAGACAATAAATTTGCTTCTCATTGCCACGCACAGGCATGAGCAACAGAGCTCATGTAGGAGTCAATATGTTCAAATAAACCTGAAAACACATGCAGACACACACCCACACACACACACACATTAGAACCACAGAAAAATGTGAAAATGTTAGTAGGTGTTGGAAGGTATTTTAATGGGAACTATGGAAATGAAAGTAATTAAAAAGCTGCTCTATTAACATAAAATATTTTTTGCAATATCCATAGAGGAACAATATGGTTTCCTTGGGAAACATGTAATTCGTTTGACTACACAGTCATAAAATATGTTGAAGGATATAATTATTTTCCTGGGCAGCAGGCAGCTAAAAATGTCATTAAGTGAGAGCAAGGTCAGAATGCATTGCAGGCGGTTGTGGGAGGGGTGAAAAGAGGCTGAAAGCAGGTACATAAAACATTTACTCCTAATGACTTACCTTCAGCAGAGCAGACCAGCAACACCATGGACATCGGCTCGGCAATTTTAATAATTGGCTTCGCTGCTCTTGTTGCAGCCTTCCTTCTTCTGGTAATTGGACTTGTGTACGCTGAGCTGATGAATTCAGACGTTCCTTGTGGGGTTGCAAATAGAGGGAAACTGCGCATGGTTCATGGATTGTTTGTTGGTATTGCAGTCGTGGTGAGTATCAGTATCTGCAAAAGTGTTAGTGCTTAGTTTTGTATGTTGCCTGTATGGAATCATATCTATTTTTGTTAACTTTTTAAAAATATTCAACTTATCCTTTAGGTTAAACGCCTCTTGTGGAGAATAAAATGTACTCTTTTAGGTCATATGTGGATATCCTTCCTTCGTCCTCCAACACCTGATAAAGCTTACATCAGAGAAATTTTAGATAAGAAATCATAACCAACAAAGGTGCAAAGACAAAGTCATGTGTTCCGCTTCTTTGATGTTGTCATGAATGGGTTTTTTTTTCAACCAAATAACCTTCACTTTGACTTTATCTATCAGGGTTGTATATATTTTTGTCTCCTATTTGTTGTAAGTCTTTTGTTTCTCTCCTGCCAGGCTCGGATCCTACATCGGCTGGGCATTTGTCATCAGGTTAGCTTTACCCGATGGTTCGTGGCCTGTTTTCTCTCTCACCTGAAACAAGTTCCCGCTGGTCTGCGAGTGAAGGACATGACATTCTCAGAGGTGCCAGTGCGAGTATATGAACCTACCTCTGTGTGTGACGGCTTGAGGAGAGGTCTAATGTATTTCCATGGAGGCGGATGGATATTGGGAAGTATAGGTATATGATGTTACAGTCACTTGCTTAACTAAAATAAAAATGCTCAAATACAAGTAAAACCTGACTTCCTCACATTTACAGTCAGTAATTTTATGACAGTGGAACTGAATTTTAAGCAGCTTGAACTATAAGTAAAAACTATTTTCATTTGAGCGGTATGCAGCATAAGAAAGTTTCAAAATTCCAAAATACTACAAAATTGCACCCAAGTGTAATATTTTTCAGCACAGGTGCAGAAAGGACAAAGATGTGTCACCTTCTGTTTGTGGCTATTTATGGCTTCTTTTCTGCGACGAAAATCTTTTAATAACTCTATCCTACTAATCCTGAACAGATTCTGTTGATGAAGTGTGTCGGCATATTGCCATTGAATCTGACACCACTGTGATATCTGTTGGGTATTTACACTTTTTCCCCACTCCACATACAAATAGTAAATCTATTTTAACCACCATGTAGCTACAACTTAACATACTGCTCCTTTTCCTTTCACCCCTCTTAGATACCGATTAGCCCCTGAGCACAGGTATCCTGCCCAGCTGGATGATTGTGAGAAAGCAACGTGTCACTTCCTGTCTGTGGCTGAGACAGAGTTCGGGGTGGACTCTCACAGAGTGGCAGTTGGAGGGGACAGCACTGGGGCTAACCTGGCAGCAGCACTGTGCCAAAGGCTGGCGTGCAGTGAGGACCGACATCTGCCATTCCCTTGCGCTCAGGTCCTCATTTACCCAGCCCTGCAGATGGCAGATTTCAACTTGCCTTCCTACCAGCAAAATCATGCTGTGCCCATATTGTTTCGTGGCCGGATGGCATTCTACTTCCTGCAATATCTCAATGGAGATGTTTCTCTGTGCCAAGAAGTGCTGGAAGGTAACCATGTCCCCACTGAGCTCAGGCCACGCTACGAACTATGGTTATCCCCTTCCAACTTACCTCCTGAGTGCCTCACACGTGGTTTCTATAAGCACCCAAGCCCAGAATATGATGGGGAGGTGTATCACGCAATTAAAGAGGGTTTGGAACCTGAGGTTTCCCCTTTACTGGCAGACGATGCTCTCATTCAGAAAACCCCGCGAACCTTCATCCTTACCTGTGAATATGATGTCCTGAGGGATGATGGGATTCTTTACAGGAAGCGACTTCTGGACCTGGGAAAGGATGTCACCTGGCAGCATGTGCTAGATGGCTTTCATGGCATGATTAACTTTTTTAACCAGGGCTGGCTCACATTTCCCTCTGCAGTGCAAGTTGTGGATGGTGCTGTTCACTATATAAAAACACTGTGAGGGTAATAAATAAGATCCTGCAATAAACTTTATTCTACTTCCCATCTTGTCTTACATTTGAATAAACAAATGTGCCTCCAGTGTTTGTCATTACCATTATACTGTTCACAGAAGCCCCCCCCCCTCCAAATTCATTCCATTCAAAAAATGAAAAGTAGCCCAAGGAAACCAAGTCTGCATACAATATTCTGGCACCTTTTTAACAATACAGAGCAGGCAACTAAAAGGTAAATGCCATTCCTTAACTTTAGGAAATGTATTTCATTTTAACAAAGATGTAAGACATCTTCTATTTGCTTCCAGGACACTCTGCTTGCTTTACCCACAGTGTTTGCTGTACCCATGGCAACAGAGCTCTTTTTCCCCTCCACTGCTGAAGCGATTATGTAGTCAGGTGAATACACCTACATGCTATCCATTTGACTAGTTAAACTAGCTCCAGCAGGGCTTTAGATTTCCCAGGTGTGTTTGATACTGGGCAAAGTATGAACCAGAAAGCCAATGCACAGGATAAATGGGCCCAAACCGGATGGAGAATAGAGCAGAAGTATGCAAACAAAGTGTTGTTAGGCAACTGGGCTGAAGAAAGACTTCAGGTAGGCATATTGTCTGTTTACGACATGCTTTACTCTACAGTGTGATAATGCAGCATTTCGATTCAGGCTTTCCAACTCTATATCACAGTATGAAAAACATGTTTTTCCAATCTAAACATACAATTTCACCTCAGCCTGAGAACACAGACTTTCTATGTCTTTTCATGCTGTGTCTAAAACATAATACTACATTAATGGCAGCCCGCCAACATTTTTTTAGAACCTGAGTTGGTAGTCAGATCTATAACAAAGTGATTAGGCGGCCTCAGTTCAGCTACATCAGCACAGCCTCCTGGTGGGCGAGAGCTGGAGACTAATTGCATTGATGTGAGTTTTGGCCATAGGCTGCTGGTTCAGGATTTGTGAGGAGAAATGACTTAAGGAATACTGTACAGCAGGTCAATTGTGAAATGTGAGCTCTGCTGATCCTTATGCTGGGATCATTGCTCAAGTCCCTGTATATCCCCCTTGCTCAGTCCACTTTGTGATGTCTGTTTATTCTCTCCGACACAGTTCACTCGCAAGCCAAAGATAGCCTACAGCACCAGTTCTGTAGACTACCGACCCCACAGGGATTTCAAGCCAGACATCTCTGAGAGAAGATCTGCCCTGCTGAGAGCTGAGGTCAGCCTTTAACTGCTCATTCATGGTATTATCACCAATTGAATGCCTGTCAAAAGCCTGCAAGTCAGGGGTTTTTTTCCCCGCTAGAGTGTGAACACTTCTGCATAATACTGATGGCCAAGATAAAGGCCTGTGATAAAACTCTTTATGAAAGCAAGTTTCTGTTCAGACTCAGCAGCAATGAAAAATGTGTAAAATCATCAATCCTACTGGGGACATACTATAGGGTTAGTTGGAGCAATTTGCCGCTGTCACATGGTGAGCCTCTTGAAGATTATTGAAAAAGAACAGGTCATGCCCTCTATATCTTAATCCAGAGAAGGCCACTGTGTGAAGGCTACGTTAAGATCTCTCTATATTGTTATCCAGGGGCTTCCATCTAAGACGATTTTTGGGCACCATGACCAGCCATCCTCACATTATCTGGTCACACAGTATGCGGAAAGCTACGGGCGTAACCTCATCAATGCTTTGCCCACTCTGCAACACAGACATGCAGACAACTTGACACAAAAGCCCGAGAGGTCTGACCAGCTGACTTCTGGTAAGTTCCATGCCAACACTGCCAGAAGGCAGAGATTATACATGGGAAATGACTTTGTACATTAAGCCATTACAAGGAGTATGAGTGCAGTGCAAACATAAGTGCATTAAATTTTGTATGAACAAAATACATCAGCAGTTGAGCTCATGAACAATTAACCTGGGGTGGGTCCAGATGCCTTTTTATAGTTCCAAATCAGCCACCGATGTAATTAATGGCTGCAGTAACATGGCAGTTAATGTGCTCTTCTTTTACAGCACTTCCAAACAACTTTGGCCCGCTGCAGACCACAAATCACCATTTTGAAATACAGCAGTCACACCTTCCATCTCTGACTGAGTACAGGTCAGCATACCAGAGGCAACCACTTAGTGCCTTCTGCCAGAGCCGCTTTGCCAAGGCTTCACACATGCTCTCCAGCCACCTCTATGAAGCCAATCGTAACAACAAGGATCTGGATCTGAGACAGCACTTGATCCTACAAGTCCCGGATCATTATTTCAGCCTATGTCCACCATCACAACAGGCTTAATTTCAGTATTGTAGCTATGAAACTGCCTCCAATACTGGTTAATTTAGAAGCTGTGTTTGTGAATTCCCTTTTTCCGTAGTTGGCAACAAGTAAAACCCTAACTCAACAGACCATTTGGGGAAATCAAATGGATTTTAAAAAATTAAAGACAATTCTCATTACCTTGTGAGGACTACTGTAGATTTACGCTGGTGAGTTGCTTTAGCATTTAAATGTGTGAGAGGGAGAAAGGGATGGGACTATAAATTATCTCCACCCTTTCAGAACATAATTACATGCAAGTTCTTTCTCTGCGCAGAGTGTATGTGAAACTGGAAATGGGCTGTTAGTATTAGTCTAGATACTCTGCGGGAGAAATAAATAAATAAAAATACTGTTGATGCCAGAACTGATCTGGGTATTTAGGTAAAACAGAAGCAATGAGTCATCCAAGGCAATGTCTGAAGGGATGTGTCTAACTCCCATTCCATTAGGTGTTTAATTACAGAGAATCAAAGTGTTTAATTAGGAAGAATCAAAGATGCTTATGTTTGATGGTCAACCATCTGCGTCTGCCTCCCTTTTTCCCACTTGCCTGCTGCCTTCCAGTGTAGCTCTGTTTCACCCACTGTTAGCTAGTTAGTCTCTCTACTGTGCTGCTGATGCCCGTGTGTCACATGACACCCTTGGGTTATGAGAAATCTTCAACACAACACGTCTTACCAAAGAACGGCTGTATTTGCCTCTGAGCCACACGATGGTGCTATAGCAACACGTCACTCTCGCTGTCTTTTAAGTCCTTGCCTTTACAGTCTGTATGGTGAGGAACTTAATTGTACATGAAGAAACAATGAGGGATTTAATATTTGCATCATTCTTATGCATATTCAGTTGTTAATGTAATCAACACAGTAAAATAAACCACACATATTTAGATTGAGCTTGTATTATTCTATTACTTTTTACAAGTCACACAAACAGCAGAATAGACATCTTAATAGAATTAGTCACTAAGTGTGGATTAATATTCACTGAATGACAAATTTCTAAATTCCTCTGATGTTTATAAAACAATAGATAACAAAGTGAAGATATCATTTGGTACAATGAGCTGAGGATGTTCTTAATCTTATTCACATTGAAAACAAATACACATCTTTCTTGCCACCATAGAAGGTGACTGAAATGACAGAAATAACTACAAGTCTGAGTGTTTCAGTGCAGTGACAAATGCTTTCGAAGCTTACCTATTTATATTGCATGGCATACCCATTTACATCATGTCATATCTAAAGAGCAACTGTAAGTAATGACGTTGTATTCAGGCCACTGTGTAAAATATATTTGTGCCCTACACAAGGGGACACAGTAATAGATTAAAATTATATTGTTAAATTCTTGTTCAGTTAGCGCTGAATGATTTCGTTTACTCTGATGCTTTTTTATGAATTATCTTTGGATTAAAGAGATTAAGCATCTGGGATGATATAAAACTAACATAATAGCAAGAAGAAGTTGCAAATCAAAGTAGCAAACAGTTTCAATGGCAGCACATCCTGTGTAAATCTAGGTAAACAGTAGTTTGACTACCATTAAGAGTCTTATAATTTACATCTATTGCCAAGAATGAGACATGAGGAAAACACAATTCTTTCTGTAATACGCAATCCAATAAAAATAAAGTACTTTTAGAAACAGATGCTTTCTTGCTTTGTGGAAAGGGAATCTTTATAACACTTCAAAAATGATAGAAAAGTGGTTGCAATTTTGCAATGAAATTTGGGGCTGGGCTGAGTTGAACATAAACCTGACCGAAGCAAAACTCACCCAGGCAACAATAAACTTGATGTAAAGCATGCTCTTGTAAGGATACTCAATCACAATCTAATCTTACCATCAATGGAAAATTGAATCCTCATTACACACTAGTCTGCTGAGGCTTCTTATCAGGTAGTGAAAGAATAAAGGGGAAAAGTGTGCCCTTGGCTGCAGAGAGTATGCTCAAATCCTCATCTATGAAAGCAGGAGAGATCTCATCAGCCTCGAACTTCATGGTGAAGTGGCGACTGACACAATATATTGTGTCATTCATCGCGACACACTGAAACGCAGGGCAATGCAGAATCCGTTTGGAGCTGCACTCATACCACAGTCGGGCCACCGTATGGTAGCGGTACACACTGACACCCAAGACTGGGTTGACATCAAACCGATACAAAAATCTTCCCACAGCCACAATATCTACAGTCTTGTATTTGCTGCCTACTATGAGACTTGGCCTCCAGGTGTCAGTTTTGGGGTTGTAGCGTAGTAGCATGTATTTAAGAGTTCCTCCAGAAACAAAAAGCTCTCCATCGCACACTGTCACATGGTGTGCCACAGCGAATGTATCATTAGGCAGAGGAGCCACAAATGTCCATCTGTCCAATCGTGGGTCGTAGCGCTCCACTGTGGAGAGGCACTCTCCTCCAATTGCATATATGTAGCCCTCCAGTGCTGCCAGTTTGCAGCGGGGCCTGGCTTCATTCATAGGACTGATCTCTTTCCAAATGGATGTCAAAGGATTGTAGCAGAACACTCGCTTTGAGGGTGTCATTTCTCTGTCAGTGCCTTGGCAGCCCACTGCCACGAATAAGTAGTTATCCATTGTGCACATAGCACAGGCTTTAGAGATGACCTCCTGTGGGATTAGGCAGAGTGTATGCCAAGTGTCTTTGTAGTCATCATAATAGTACACTGCGCTTGATGTCCTCCTCTGCTCTGATGTTGCTCTGCGCCCTTCAGTGTTGCTGACCCAATCTTGAGGATCCATGTCTGCAACCATGACAAACCTCTTCCCCCTCATTCTTTGCCTCTGGATTTGTTCCCGCTCACCAGCCATTAGCCGCCCATAAAGGCTGGGATCCCTGAGCACATGGAGGTAGTTATCAGACATGACCCCCAGGGCTGCTTTCTGCAAAGATGTCTGGCCATGTTTCTTAGCAAGGCACAGTGTCTCCAAACAATTACCCAGATCAAGCTTACTCTTTAAGACTTCTAAATCTGTGTCATCAAGAATTTTTGCTTGAAAGTCTAAAAATGGAGCCCCTTCTGCAGTCTCTCTATCTATCCCCTCCTTCACATTAAGGATTTTGCTGTCAGTAGCAGGACTGATAATTGGGTGAACAGAGAGAGATTCATCGCCAGCTATAGCCCGAGAGTGGGTCACTGGAGTTGAGGCTCTTGAAGTTAGAAAGGGGATCGAAAGCTCAGACTCCTGTGCTGCAGACAGATAGCTCTCTTTGCGTAAGAGTACAGGCCTTGGGGGTTTTCTCAGCTTGAGGCACCCTGGCGAGGAAGCATCTTTAACAGTGCTTTGTGGTGAAACCAGATCACGAATAGTGATGGGGTTTAAAGACGATGGAGACTCTCTGAAACTGCTGCCATGGCTTCCAAACTCCCCTGGCTTTGATTCAAAGTCCCTCTCATACTGAGAAAGTACCGTATTAATATCTGTAATAGAGTGAGAAGATGACTCAACATAGTAATCATATATCTTTCCACGCACAACCTGGTCTCCTGTCCCTTCTAGCACTATGTTTGCATCTTCCACTTTGACCTCTGCCTTGGAGAGGAAGCTGGAGTAGGACCCTTTGCTCTCCAGGTCCTGTCTTAACTCTCGGCCCACACCCACACTTCTCTCCAGCTTCTGCAAAATGCAAGGGGAGCGCCGCCCCGTTGTACTGACCATCCCACTCTCTGTTGGATCAGGGAGTTTCAGAGCAGATCCAAACATAACATTACTGGTGGCAACCTGTCCCTGCTTCTCATAAGTGATTATCTCTTCATCCATGCTGGTATCGTGGTCATCGTTTGTTGCAAACACATCCTCACTTGTTTTAACCTGATGTGTCAGGTCATCTGAATCTGCTAGCAACGATCTGGATTGCTGGCCCGCATCATCTGTCTCATGTTTTGTTGAGCTTTGATGTTGAAGTGTTGTCTCGCAGTTTTGGCAGGTTGCATTTCCTGGCTCTTTGTCTTTGACATAGAGCTGGATTCTTCTTCGATGCCTGGAGCTGTAGAACCTGTAGCCCCAAGAAACCAGCAGCACTGCAGCCGCAGAGACACTAAGTTTCCACAGCAGCTGCATGTCGAACTGGACTCCCAAAAGCTCCGCAATGGGCATAGCTGTAGCAATGTTGGTGGCAATAGTTGGTTGGCTGATCCTATTGAGCGTTATTGTCAGTGCATCTCAGCTGATAGTAACTGTCTGGTTGTCATTGTAAGAGAGCTGCTGTGATCTGATGACTGTGCCTCCGTGCCCAAAGGATCAAGTGTAAAATGATAGCTCTTGAGGCACAATTTGCATCACTGGCTCTGCAGAGGCGGGGCCCTTTCATGCACCACCTGTGGCAAGTCACATGCAGCTTCAGTATCCATACACGGAATATGTAAATACGCCATAGATCAATATTTGGTTATGCAATTTGTTGACTCAACAAAGCCTTTTCCCACAACTATTCAAATGTTATGTTGTGTAATGGAAGAGTTAAAGTTACCGCAATACAAAGCCTTACTTTGCAGGGTTACGTTTCAGTTTCAGCATCTTGCTGTTTTCATGCATAGAATGTATTATGTACATTTCTAAAACAATTCCCCAAAATATTATGAGAGATAACTCTTCTTCACTTGCTTAAACATACTTCTAGCTCTCCAGAAGGAAATCATGGTTTGAATAAAGGGCGGGGAGTAATGATACCTGACATTTATCAAATACTTATTAACCAGGATACATCTGTTTGCACAGCCATGCTCCATATTAAAGGTCCTTTCCCTGCCAGCGCAGATGCTTAAGTTAGTCTCTGTTAAGATGATCTGAAGATTAGTATCAGAGACTTAAATGGCAGTCACATGCTATTATAAACACAATAAAGTGTACAGAGCACCATCTGAACAATAAAAGCATGTGTAATGCAAATAAAATGGGAAGTCTTTGTACACATAACCTTGGGAGTGTCATTTATTTCTCTACACTATACTAGATTCAAACATGTATTTCTGCCTCATGGGAGAGTTGTTGCTCAGTTGCTGCTGCCAAGCTGCCATTTGTATTGTTGATAACACAGCAGCGAGGCTGTGGTCAACAACAAAATAGTATTCATCTTAACAGCGTGTTTAGAAGCATTGTAAAGATGCATCACGTGAGGACTCGTACAGAGGGTGTGTCAGATTTCCGAGCCCACACTGGCAATGTTTGTTCATCTGATAGGACAGCCTGCAGACAACAAAAAGGAAACTGGACTCTGCAAGCACATTTGCCTCCTGAATAATTCACAAATGCTCTGTGCAACCTCTTATCCTCACCACTGCTTCTAGCTTCAGGTGGAGCATTCAGAAGACGATTATCATGTGCATTGTAGTCATGTGCTTTCACTTCTTTCTTATAGAACGACAACATCTGACTGAAAATAAAGAAATAGATTCTTGCTTATGCACAATGTTTTTCTTTTGGATTAAAGAAAATGTGACAAAGCAGTGCATTTAAAGGCTCTTTTTTCTTATCTATTGCATATTTCTGGTCCACGATAATATGGTTATGAATTTAGTACTCATAGCTACTGGTAAGATGTGGACAACAGTAACACAGCCTTATCCACAAACTATTTAGGACAGACTTCTTCTGGCATGATGATTAAATCATATAAAGCCAATTGGCACATTGTATTGTATTCAGAAATGGACCCTTTTTTCTCACTTGAATGTAAAATGAGTGAGTGAAAGCAAAAAGCACAGAAGTGCCTCTTGAATAAAAATTACAATGATAGCCGAGTTAGAATACTATACAGTGGGTGGACAAGGATTTGTGCCCTTTGCTTCCCTTGCCAGATAAAATGTCATTCAAAGCACATATGACTGTTTGTTAATAATGTTTGTGCTCTGCAGCTCTCATCTCCCGTATGCAGTATGCAATATGGATAGTACTTTGGCAAGGTGAGCTGATATACCAAACAGATAGTTCTATCCTTTCGGTTCACCTAAGCTTCAAAATCTCTCCTCTTACCTCCCACCTGGTTTAAACCTTAATCCCTTAATACATGTTGGGTCCTTAGAATAGCTTAAATTGCAATTCTTGTGAAGTCCAAAAAATGCAGGATTACATTGCATTAAGCTATCTTTCACTGAAAGGCCAGAAGAGTTAATGGCAATGTCAGAATCTCCTTCTAAAACCACGTTGAGGTCCATATAATTAGAAAAAATCAAAAAGACGTCTTTTTCTCCACAGAGTCGATCAGCACACGTTCTTATACATTATGGTGGGATTTTATTTAAATAATTTCAACAGTTCTTTCAACCACCTTGATTAGCATGTGTCTTCGGTATGAGTAATAATGCTGCATATCGCCTGTACACAGCATTAAAAGGCAGGACAATAAAAATAATTTGTGAAACACTGTTTTAAGCAAAGTCAAGGCTTTTGAGTTTTGTCATCTCTCCATTTTAATAGAGGTGAAATGAAACAAATGCAACAACCCTGTTTACACAAGCTGCCTCAGGTGAACTCCTCCCTGGGATGGCGGCTAAAATGATCCTACTAGTACTGTAAATGTCTGGGTAAGAGTTACGTATTGTACACAATGTAGGTCACTTAAGATAGTATGTCACAAGTAAATAACTGGATTACAGGCCAGTGACAATGAGTTGCAGTGCTGTCATTTGCAACACACCAAAAGGAGAAAGAATCTTCAAACGTCACATGCACCACAACCCCAAAACAGCAGACATATGTTAGATACTTTTTACTCTGTCCTTGGAGACCTGCCATATAGATATAAAAAGCCAAAATGAGAAACAAAAAGGCTGTTAATGTTTCCATCCTTTTCAGCCAAGAATTATCTCTGAAAACAGAGTTGAATGAAGTACAAACAAGGGTGGAGGAGTGTAAACTCCAATTATTTCAGCAACCATCCCTCACCATAACCCATATAACCTCTTTTAATTATTTTTCAGTATTTACACTGATGTACACAAAATACACTCAAAATGAGATTTTTTTTCTAGTTTCTGCATTTAAATCCTCTCGTACATTCTGAGCCATCAGAAAGAAAACAAAAGAAAAGAAAAAAAGAAATTTGTATATTAATAAAAAAGCGTCTCCACTTCGAGCATCTGTATTTATTCTCCCATGGTTTATCAGCTTGCTCTCAGTCAGGTACATCCCAGGATATGTAGCAGGTGTGGTTGATGTGGTGTCGCAGTCTAAAATCAGTTCCATTTTTCATATCTCAATACCAATTTCAGTACCAATAATATTGTGAGTCAATAAAATAAAATCCAAATGCTTTTTTTCTTTTCCATTTCAAATCAACTGATTTTATTGGTCAACAGGCAGACGTGGGACAAGAAACGAAAAAAAGGTGTAACTGGGCGGGGCTATATAGGAGGTGGTTACCGTCATGTTCATCATGTTGTTCTTTTCATATCATTATCTTGGTTATTATTTTTGTTACAAAAACAGTGTAGAGCCATCGTGTGGTGGCACTGTTTCCTGATCGACTGACGTATGCAGGGTCTGTTGATGACTGGAGAAGGCTTGTGGGACTGTGGGAATTAAGTTTTGTGTGATTGTGTGTGTGTGTGTGTTACTGTGTGCATGTGTTGATGTTACATAAGAAGGGCAAGTATGTGTGAGCGAGAACGTCTTGGATGAGAGGTTTCACGTCAGTTCCACTGTCACTGTGAGGACAAGTGCCATCCACGTTAATCCGAGCATATCCATGCGGGGGGCTTCATCTACAAAACCAAAGAAAACGACAATCAGACCGTTTCATTCATCGTTTTGATGTATTGTAGTGCATTAATAATAAATTTAAAAACACAAAGCAATTGTTCATCCCACTGAGCAATTCTTCTGAATTATACTCGTGCTTGAAGTGGCTAAATATGTTATTTACAGTAAAATAGGAATTTCATCAAGAAGGGATTTTTAAGGGCATTGAACTGTTCTATGTTTTCACTCAACTGAAAACAATTAAATAAACAAGACCATATTGTGATGGGATCATAACAGCCCGTCTTCTACCGCTGCTCCATTGAAAGTGTGCTGACATATTGCATCGGTGTGTGGTTCTCCAGCTGCACCACAGCACACAGAAAGGCACTCCAGAGGGTCATCAACATGGCCCAAAAAATCATTGGACATCCTCTTCCCTCCCTGAAGGACCTGTACAGCACTCGCTGTCTCAAGAGGGCACGCAGCATCCTACGGGACTGCACACACCCAGGACACCGGGTGTTTAAGCTGCTGCCGTCTGGCAGGAGGTTCAGGCTGCTGAGGTCCCGAACAAATAGACTCAAGGACAGCTTTTACAACAGGGCAATAGCCCTGATCAATGCAAATAGCTGACCTGACTGGATACCTCCCTGGACTTTTTAGGGGGAGGTAACAATGTTTAAAACGATAACAATAATATTTATATTTATAACAAGGTGCAATAATAATTAATGTGCAATAATAACAGTGTGCAATACACATACACTTATTCTTCTTTTTTATACTAAGTTAATATACTGTGTTGTGTTGTTTGTTACGTTGTGATGTGTCATATCGTGTCGTGTTGTGTTATATGTAGTGCCGACGTAGGACAGTTTTTCCAATTTCATTGTACTACTGTACTATGTATGACTGTGCAATGACAATAAAGAGTTATCTTATCTTATCTTATCTTATAACAGCTGCCAGTGAGTTCTCCCACCAGGCCTATTGTGGAAAATATTTTTATGTTTATAAACCAGATAAAGACACCTATGAGACTTACAAATACATTAAGAATGCAAAAGACTGTGTTATCAGAGCTTAAAGCGGCTCAAGGCCTACTCCAGGTGCCCTTTACCCAGTACTCACGGGTGACATGACACCAATCTTCACAACCGATCCCAACTATACACCTGTAAAATTTTGGGACTGTATCTTGCACGGCTGTCCACATACCCATCTGAAAGTACTTCAAACCACTTATTTGACAGTTCCACCTATAGTAGGCATCCCCAGGACCACATTTTGCCATGACACACAGACAGTTAGACAGACTTACAAGGTGAAAACAATAGTGGCCATGCTGCTGTAGCTTATAAAATTGTTTATGGCACACACATAAACTATTTTAACCTGATTGTTGCTTATAGACTGAGACTTTGCTTCATCAGAAAAACATTTCTTCTCTAAATGTCTCAACTCAGGGGCTTGAAATCACTTGAGGTACAGCTGCAATCAAAATTATTTAGCCCTGCTGAGCTGTTAAGGGTTTATCTATTAAACCTTCCAAAGATGTTTATAAATTTTTATAAATCACATTTGAGTCAAGAGATGTAATCAAAATAACATGTTTAAAATGTTTAACATCTTATGTAGGTGGATGACATTTTTGAAATACATCCATTCATTAATTTTCGTAACTGTGTGTTTAATTCAGAGTGAAATATAGAAATGTAGATGAGAATGATTCAATTATTTCATAAAACTGTTGTTTTTAAATAACTTACTATTAAACTTACCACATGTCAGGATATAATTAAACTATTGGGAACTAAAATGCTATAACAGCACCTGAATTTGCTTCAGCTGTGATAAAGATGTACCAAAATCTTGTCTCAGCACGTGCTCCAGCTGTGTAATCAACTTGGCAACCTGAGTTATTGTTTTAAAGGGTAACAGTTATTTCACCAAAGTGTATTAGTTAAAGACATGAAAGGCCCAGACAAGAAGACATCACCAACAAGACAAGCACGCATGGATGTGGTTGCCTTTAGCTGTTGCAGAAAAGGGAAAAATCGACTGTGACTGACATTACGGATTTGGTGAAATACCAGGCGATTTAGCCCAGGCACATGCCTGGTGGTCATCTCAGTCCCCGGATATGAATCATCTTGAAAATCACTAGTTTGGGATTTAACAAAAGCACAGGAAGAATGGACTAGCAGTCAAAAAAGAGAGGTACCGGAAGCCTGTGAGAAACTACACAGAAACACTTATTGGAGATCTAAAGTCGAGGGATCCTATTAAAAGCTGCCTGCTATCGGATCTTTAAAGAGAAATTTCAATTTATATTTAGCACTATTAGCAAAGTCAACATTATGTTTCAAGATTCGTAGAAATATAGATTAATGTATTAGTCCTTCTTTAACTGTTAAAAACTTTATTTGACACATGTATTCATTAGATTTTGACACATTACTCCAACTTCTTGCTGCTTAAGAGGGTTAAATGATTTCCTATTGCAGCTGAGTAATAGTAAATCCCTGTTTTCCCCTGCTTTTGAAGTGCTAAATTATATGATACAGCAATGACATAAAATCCAAAAATCCCTGTTTGATCTCGCTAACAGTTAAGCTGAATATAAACATTGGTCTTTATTTCTCATTCTTGAAAAATTAAATGCCTGGATATGGTGAACAATACTTCTAT